CAAGTGCATCGCTAGTAGTAACAAGTGCCTTACTAGTAACAAGAAGCGAACGTAGAAACAAGAAGCTTGTAATAGGTGAAAAAGGACCGCCCTTCTGTGAGGGGTACTCCAGGCACCCGGTGACCCGAGGCTTGCCTGATGCGGGAGATTGCTTTCATTGCTGACAGCTTTAGCCCTCAACCGCATCCCAACTTGAATTTGGACTTAGTGCAGGTGGGATGGCAGGGTTTGTTTATTGCCGAGCGCAGAACGCTTCAATCGAATATAGAGTCAGCAGATTGTGAGCGAATTGACTCATTTTTCGATTGGCTCCAAAGAGAGACAAAGGGAAAAGAAAGGTCTAAAGCTCCAACGAGATAACCAAAACCTAGAAACAGTTTTAACGGGTTATATAAAGAAGAACGTCCACTCCTCACATTGTTTCTTCCGAAGCCTATGGAGGCCAAACTTGATGCATTGCTGTTCGATGACGATGCCTATCAGTGGATCTACGAGAGGCAAGGCTTCCCTCAGTGCCCCAGCCCTGCCGGGCCCGGGTTCGGCCCGGTCCCGCGACGCCCTTTGCTCCGTTCGTAGCGATGCCCTTTGTTCCTAGTAGCGAACATTGCTCCTAGTAGCGAGGCCAGGAGCCCCTAGTGGCTTCTTGTTACTACTAGTAAGGCACTTGTTACTAGAAGCGTGACACTTGTTCCTAGTAGCGAACATTGCTCCTAGTAGTAAGGCCAGGAGCCCCTAGTGGTGTCCTTGCTCCTATCATGTTCGTGTTTCTGGTGTCTTGCTTTTCTGTCGCACTAGGTTTAAGCTTGTGCCGGCGGGGCATTTCAATGTTGACAAGTATTGCACCATCTTTGTCAAGGCTCGGGTTTGCGCGTCTGGCATCGAACGCTCTTTGACTGGGAACAAATGGCATCGCTACGAACGGAGCGATCGGACGCTACTGGGGGCTCCTGGCCTTACTACTAGGAACAAGGACGCTACTAGGGGCTCCTGGCATCGCTACTAGGAGCAAGGACGTTGCTATTAAGCGTGTCATTGTTCGTCTGTTGTGGTGTTTGTCCTCATGCAGTGTCCCGTGTTGCGCTAGTAGTGGTTCAAGATTCCGCAATTTGGTCTCGGTTTGGCTGTGCTCAAAAGACTATTTCCACAGTAGGGTTTTCACTACAGTCTTCGATTTGCTGCAACCCTGCTTGCCAAGCAATCAGCGTTTTTTTGAAGCAATCAGTGCTAGGACTGCACGGTTCGAAGGAAACTAGTAGCTTCTTGCTACTAGTAGTAATGCCCTTGTTAGTAGTAGCTTCTTGCTATTGGCTTCAGTTTTTGTGAATGTCACCCGCACCTGTCAGCCTGTCGACAGGTGGAGAATGCATAGGATTAAGGTTTTTGTTAATCAAAAAATCATGTTTAGGCCACAGCATCACAGAAAATACAAACCAAAGGCATTATTGTCTATTGTACAGGAGTAGACGAGACGAGGACCTAGGGTATTCATAAATGGACAGAATTGGAAAGAATTGAACAAGGGTCTAACACTTAACGACAAATAAGATAACAAAACAACACAACAATATATAGGTAAGAAAGGTCGAAGGAAAGGAACAAAGAACAACAAGATTTCAAGCATTCTAGTTTGTGGGTTGGAGGGCATCGCGACTAGGTAAGTATAAGGTTTTGTCCGCCAAGGGAGTTGTGAAGAGCCTGTACAATGAGCACGTGCTTTCCTCGCTGGATGTCGTGGAGGTGCCACACTGAACGGCCACATTTGCATGTGCATCGCTAGTAGTCAGAATTGAGAACTATAAAGAAGCTAGTAGTAACAAGTGCCTTACTAGTAGTAACAAGAAGCGAACGTAGAAACAATAAGCTAATAGCTTCTTGTTCCTAGTAGTAAGGCCAGGAGCCCCGTTCGTAGCGTCCTTCCTCCGTTCGTAGCGATCCCCTTTGTTCCTAGTAGCGAACATTGCTCCTAGTAGTACGGCCAGGAGCCCCTAGTATCTTCTTGTTACTCATTGAGCTGAAGAAAAAAGAACAAATAGCGTCCTCCAAGCTACTAGCGATGGCCTCCATGTTCCTGAGGAGATCGAGCTGAAGACGGATAGTGTTTGCAAAAGCATGGCAGAAGCCGTCGCTTGACTGCACGCCATTCTCTCGACATTTCTTGACATAATGACCCTGTACTACGACAAACAAACAGAAAGCATGTTCTAAAGTGTTCTTCCATTTGGACAACGCGTTTTTCTTTTAAAGTAAGATTTTGGAGACTTCTTTTTTGAATCTGTTTTGCTTTCTTATGTTTGCTAGACCTTTACGCCTTTCATCCTTACCAACTTTTTCACTACCCCTTCTATCTCCTCCAAGACCAAACGAAAGACTTCTTGATTCGAGAGAGAAAGAACTCCACTGCTTTTGAGAGAACACAAACCCTGTCTCTTGGAGCTTCTCCGTTTCGGTTTGTGGCTTTCGTCAGAGACTTTTGAGCAACAAATACTGCCAGGATTTGGAGCCTTTGCATGTCATTTTGAAAGTCTTGGCACATCCTGGGGAAGGTCTTCCAAGGACCAAAGCATTTTCTAACTTTTTGTGCTTGACTGTGAATCGCATCAAACTGCTGACAGGACCAATCCCAATCCAGAGAGTTTTGAGCCTAGATCTGTTGTAAACCACCAGCAATGGCCTCCAACCTAAGAGCGATGGCCTCGGCCAACATGTTGAGTCGTTTTTGCTTAAAGGCCAACATGTTTGACCGCGTTTGGCAGTACAAGTGGCTCAAGTCCAAGGGGTGTGGAAAAGTCCCATAGCGACTAACAAGTTCGCCTTATCGAGTGCAAGATGAGCCTCCCCGCATTCCCAGACGCTGTGCCCTTGTCAGCATGGAACTGTCTTTCACATCAGGGTGTTTTTGGCAACCCAAATTTTCCGAACTCAGAAACGAAAGTTCCAACACATGTCTCAGGTTTGTTCGTTGCTTTTGGGTAGAAAGATGTAGAAAGCAAACAAGGGGCATGCACTATGGCATGCTGGATTCAGGGAGTCCAGCTGGAAGAAACGGATACATTCGAAAGACAAACGGCATACATTTCAGACGAAGAGCTGGAAGATTCCATGGGAAGCGACGAAGGGCAAAAGTGGATGCAAAGCTCTCATTTTGGCTTTGTTGCGCACGTCTTTTGTGCAACTGCATACCCATACCTTGATATTGTAAGATTGTCGAGATTCCACAACCCAAGGCATGGATCTGGGCTTGTTTTGGCCTGTTTTGGCTTGCTCGTTGTGGCCTGTTGAGGTGCTGAACAGTGGTATCCCAGAGGGGACCTCTGCCAGCACGACTTTGCCAGAAGATGCATGGGACTTGCTAGGCCTTGGTGCCGCAGATGGTATGAATGATCGGGAACTTCACATCAAGAACGGCCAGGTTTGCCTGTTGACGGGTGGAGACTATATGAGCGCCAAACGGCGCTATGCCTTAGAGAACCGTGAAGCACATCGAGCACAATGGCGGCAACAAGCAGAGCAGCGCTTGGCCAAGGCAGCATGTCTGCAACGTTCGGCTTGGTGACAGTGTGTTGAACTGAGTCCAACCTTTCTAATGGGTCTCCAACCTAATAGCAATGGCCTTCAACCGAAGAGCGATGGCCTCCAACCTACTAGCGATGGCCTTCTAAATCAATGCCTAAAGTAGTCTAAAGGTGCTCCAGTGACTTGGACAGGCCGAATCTCGACGTGGAGGCGTTGAGAAAGCTGCGGCAGAATCAGGTGTGATGAAGACGCAGAAGTTTACCTGGAGCAAGGATGGTGCAAAGTCTTTCGAATGGAGGAAGATCTATCATGCCTTGGTTGGAGTAGTGGGTCCAGGTGAAGGTGGCTTGCTCGCTGAAGCTCTGATTACACCGACGTCTATGAGGCTCACCCCAATGGCCTCTCAATGGCCTCCAACCTAATAGCAAACAGTATTAGACCTGTCTTCGTTTTATGTTTTTCTTTGTTTCTAATCGTGATGGCCTCCAACCTAGAAGTATTGGCGATGATTGTAATCCTTTGTTTCAACGTTTCAACATGGAATCTGCAAGGGAAAGTCGGGTCAAACACAAATGGACATGAACATGGAATGGACGTCAGATTCTCTATAATATAAACACTTACCACATCATGTGCAGCAATTCTGGAGCCTTTTTTGCTTTGCAGGATGTACACGGACCATCGCGTGATGGGCCAGGTGGTTCTGCCCGGTGTGTCGCACGTCTCGCTGATGGCTGCCACCGCATCTCTGGGCTTTCCAAGCCCTGGAGGTGACTGGGGTAGAGGACACTACTAGGAACAAGGGCATCGCTACTAGGGGCTTCAGGAGCAAGGACGCTACTAGGGAATCTTGGCCTTACTACTAGGAACAATGTTCGTTACTAGGAGCTTTTTCTTTTGATCTGATTCCTCCAACCTAATTAATAGCGATGGCCTCCAATCTAATAACAAATATGGCCCTCCAAACGAAGAGCGATGGCCTCGGCCAATATGGCCCTTCAAGCCCGGTCAGGTGGTATGGGTGACTGGCACATCTCGGTGAAAGAGGTGCTCTTTGAGCGTCCCTACATCGTCCACAGCGGGGCTGATCTCATTGCGGCCATCGCGAATGGTGTGGACCCTTCGACGGTCCAGGCAATGGCCGGTGGCTTGCCAATTCCGATGACACCGGTGGGTGTCCCCACAACCTATTGCCGTGCTACCAATGTCACCAAGGAGAGGGGCATCATCAAATCGACCATGGACTGGGCCAAGTGATTCCATAGGATCGAGGATTGACAACCAAGCTTCCGTGATCACAAAAAGGCGTTCGAGACATGGGTGCTTGCTATCTTACTGAAACATAGTAACAAGGTTCGCTACTAGGGGCTCCTGGCCTCACTACTAGTAGCATTCTTACTACCTAGGAACAATAAAGCTACTATTTTCTCACTGAAGCATTGTACACAAAGTGTGGCCCTGGGAATCCTAGGAACAAGGACAGCCTCAGATTTCTGACCCATTCGCCAAGGCATCCATGCCTGGCAAGCGCGTGTCGCCTGCTATTTTGCCTACCAACTGGATGGTGGTATGCTTGGTCGGCACCATAGTTGACGATACTTTAGATTTTTCTGTCTTTCTACCTTGAGATAATTTCTTTTCTTTCATTCTTTCTTTCTACCTTTATATAGACCCTTTCTTTTCTCTCTTTTCTTTCTTTCTTTGTTCCGAGAATTAGGTCCAAGACGCTTTCAAGAAACTGTGCCAAGATTGCTCACGAACCGAACATGTACCAAAACCAAGAGCAGATCGCAGAACTATGCTGCTATTTCTTGCAGAACTTGGTTGATGAGGGCCTAGATTCAATTTGGGTTGCAAGTGTTCAACCTTTTCCTGGATTTGGAAGCCCAGAAGTCCGGAAGTCGGACGTCCTGAGGTTCACGACTCACTTTGGCCACAATTGTCGAAGGTGTTCACAATGGCCGTGTGGGCCAGGCGAGATGTCAGCATCCACGTCAGTGGTGAGGGAGAACGTCTCGCGTTTGACAGGAGACCTCCCGGCTATTCGAAAACATTCTGCCTCGGCCTTAGAGATTCCGTCATTACCAAGAATCCTTGAGACCTATTTTGGAGCCATTTTGGAGCCAAGAGCAGGGGAAGCAGTTCAGCAAATTCCTTACCAAGGGCCTGCCTACTTCACTTACGTGTAGTTGATTTACGAGTTCCTTGGGAGCTCAAGGTGGGCACCAGAGCACTCGACGGACGAAGATGAGCCCCGTTCGTAGCGTCCGATCGCTCCGTTCGCGATGCCTGGAGCCCCGTTCGTAGCGTCCTTACTCCAAGCAATCCTTAAGATAGCCAACTAGCATAGAAAGTTGAACATGTCAAGCTTCTGAGGAAAAGTAGGCTTCCACAAGGGAGACGGTTTAAGCTTCTGTGTTTCAACAATATAAGTTCAAAAGTCGGTTCTTCTAGGTTTCCCTTAAAATCTAGGGAGGGCACATGAATCGCGTATATGTTTTCCTGCGTCTGGAGCCTGGCAGCTACCTCTTAGCAGCCTATCCCCCTGGATACAATTAGTATACTGTATACTTGTATTACAATTGCATATATTATAGTATATACTATGATTGTATTATAGTTGTACAACTTTACTTCAACTGCTTTATTACTTTTGTCCTGCTTTACTTCAACTCACACTTTTGGACTTGCGTAGGTCATTCCAGCCCAGATGCTTGGCCTCGGCTTGCCAACGGCTCAGTGGCTGATTCAAAATCTGCATCCAGAATTTGCACAATGTATTTGGTGAGGCTATCTGGCCCGGACGCTTCTGGCACTTGACTGAGAGGGCATATTTACCATTGGTACTTCAGCATTTCCATGAGTTTGCACAGACGCCGTGCAGGAAAGAATGAGAATGAGGTGCAAGGAGTCCTGCCCTGATTCCAAACTGCAACCGCTTGGTGGTTGGAGTTTCCTCAACGAACGGAAGCCTTTTCCAAGACTTGAGTGCAAAGCTTTCAGGAAGCATGGAAGCTTTCAGGCTTTCAGCCAAGATTATTCAGAGTGGTTGGGTTTTCTCATCGATGGTTTGGTTTTGTATTTCCATTCAAGAGGAGTGTAGGCAAGCAGAACCAAAGGAGGCTGAAGCTTTTGCTCTCCATTCTTGGCTCCTTTGGTGAGCTGACACGGTACGCGCTTGATCGACGGCGCCATGCACCGCACCCCATCACATGAACGTCAACGCTGCCTCACCCCGACCGTGCCCATGCGTTTGCACCTTCACCTCGGCCCTGAAGGAAAGCTCAAACGTGCCACAAACGTGTCCGAAAAGTGCGGAAACCAACGAGCCACCGCCCTTTTTTCAAGCATGTGCCGACGTTCCGGTCGTCGTTTGCCAAGTCGAAGAAGACCACGGAACGCCTAGGGAATGATCCCTGAGGTCCAATGTACTTTCAACGACAGGGTCATGCAGGCGGGAGGCCATCACTCTTAGGTTGGAGGCCATCGCTATTAGGAACAAGGGCATCGCTACGAACGGAGCGATCGGACGCTACGAACGTAGCGAGGCCGAACCGAATAGCGAAGAGACTTGTGACCGGTCAGGTGGGTCGGCTCGAGTCTCATCACTCGTCAGGTGCTCTTGGAAACTGGTCACCTTCGAAAAGTCTTGGAAGACGAGGATGCAGGCACAAACAGAGCGAAACATGACGAACGGTCTTTGAAGCTACGGAGTAAGGACGCTACTAGTAGCTGGCATTACTACTAGGAGCAAGAAGCTACTAGTAACAAGGACGCTACTAGTACGAGATCATTTCGGCATATTTCTTGGTGGGAACAAGGAAGCCCAGTGCAGTGTGAAGCTGAGGCAAGAACTGCATGAGCATGGAGTATGCCCATCTCCTAGCGCATCCCTTTCGCGTTTCCGATCAATGATCTCGAGTGTGTTGGAGTTTTGTAGGCTTAGACTCTTTACTCATGTAGTTTCTGTAGATGATGTTGCAACAGAATGTCACTATATTGTTCTTGACTGTGAACGTAAGCTGGTCCAGCGCTTTTGCTGCAGCACACTCTGCCTGGTCACACTCCGACAATGTCTCACTCTGACTGAGTTCATGAAACCATCCAGCTGCAAGCTTCTTGCTTTATTTAGTTTTGGAGTAAAACAAATGAAGCACACTTTGCCAGGAACCTCTTAAGCTGCAACGCAGCTTCCACGAACCTCAAAGCTTGTGTTTGCCGCCTCATCATAGCTGATCAGGCTTGGGGGGGAATTGAGAGTAGAGAGACGGGAGGTGCTTGGAAACGTAGCTCGCACGAGACTGTTCAAAGTTTAAGATGACACTGGCAAGTTTTAGAATTTTGTCAGTAGCTTCGACAGAAAAAAGAAACACACACACACACATATATCACGAAAGCCAGCCGGCAGGCAAGGCTTGAGTTCTTAGGGTGAACGAAGTGAATAATGGGGGTGTGGGGGGGTGGTCGCACTCGGGCATATTTTGGAGGTCGAACCCTGAGCCTGATGGGGGAGAGCGAAAAAAAGTAGGGTCAGGAAAGCATCAAAAAAGCATCAAAAACGCGGTTTGGTGATGCAAGTGATGTAAATGACGCCGAGTAGTGCATCATTAGCATCACGAAGGAGTCTGGAGATCATTTTTTCTTTGCTTTCTGGAGCATCATTAGCAGAAAGGTCAGGTAGAATGTCAGAAGGCTTGCTAGAGAAAATGTCAGAGGCTTTGCCAGTGAAAATGTCAGAAGATAGTCCTGGCGGGGGTCATTCGAATTGGGGATCACTCGAAGTGTCAGAAGCTACTCATGATGGGCATCACTCGAAACAAGTCCGTGAAATTTTTTGTAGAGCTTTCTTCTTGTACTTCGATCTTTGAGAAAGAGCACCCGACGACCAAAAGAGTCAAAAGGGTTGGACACCACGGAACAAGCCCATGCACGACTAACCACCCCAAGAAGACAGATAAACTGTCAGAAGATAGTCATGGTGGGGATCACGGGAAATGTCAGCAGATAGTCATGGTGGGGATCACTCGAAATAACTAAGTGATTCTTTTTCTGTGGCCATCATTAGCAGAAAGGCCAGGTAGAATGTCAGAAGATAAAATGTCAGAAACATTTGCCAGAAAGCATGCCACCAGATATGCCAGAAAGAATGTCAGACAATTTGCCAGATAAAATGTCAGAAGATAGTCATGGTGGGGATCACTGGAAATGTCAGAAGATAGTCATGATGGGGATCATTCGAAATAACTAAGTGATTTTTTCTTCTGTGGCCATGTGTGGAAGACTTCAACACGATGCCCGAAATATCGCCGATCATCGCGAAAAACACATATTTCGGGCATCGCTGTTTTTGTCGTGTTGGCCCACGTATTGTTACTTCTCAGTTCCTTGCACCTTTACCCGGACAATTGGTGGGGATCATTGGAAATGTCAGCAGATGGTCATGGTGGGGATCACTCGAAATAACTAACTGATTTTTTCTGTGGCCATCATTAGCAGACAGGCAACGTAGAATGTCAGAAGATAAAATGTCAGAAGATGCTGCGTGATGGCTGCGCGCACCTCAAAAAAGTCCGTGCGCCTTTGCTGGCTTTCGTCCTCTCCTTTCTCAGGTATATATATATATATATGTAAAAACGTGCAACAACACCAACACCCTTCGCCCTTCAGGATGTGGGCCAAAAAGGGCAGTCGATCGTGCTGGCTCGCGGGCTCGCCCAGCTGCTGCAGAAAGGCCGGGCGACATGTTCGATTGAAAAGCTCGCTCTGCGAACCGCCACAGTTGTCACATCAACGGCCTGTGAGAACAGTGGCTCCCTGTGTTGGAGGCCATCGCTAATGGATTAGAGGCCATTCCTACTATGTAGGTTCCTGTTGCTATTAGGTTGGAGGCCATTGCTATTGGGGGGCCTTGTCGATTTAGACTCTAAGCCATAAACCTGCTGAGCTGACTACTCGAGAACCGTCTGTATGGTTTCCTGGAATTCTTGTTTCCTGGCTGTGTCTCTTTGTTTCTTTTGATGGCCTCGTTGCGTGGTCAGCTTCGCTGCGTTTGTTCTCCAGCCTAATAGCAAAAGGAACCTACTAGCGATGGCCTCCAACCCAAGAGGAATGGCCTCCAACCTACGAGCAATGGCCTCCAACCTAAGAGTGATGGCCTCCACCCTACTGGCGATGCGCGAAAGGGAAAATGCAAGACATGAGATACGTTCCCCCCAAGCCGATGCTTTGCCCACCAAGCGAAACCCAACTAAACCGAC